TTCTTCTTCTTCTTCTTCTTCTTCTTCTGCTTCTTCTTCTTCTGCTTCTTTATCTTCTTCTCCTTCTTCTTTATCTCCTTCTCCTTCTCCTTCCCCATCACCATCATCATCATCTTTTTCTTCAACTTCTTCGCCATCATCGACATCAGCCTCTTCATCTTCTTTAACCTTTTCAACTTCTTTAGCTCCTTCTTCTTCTTTAACGCCTTCTTCTTCTTCTTCTTCTTTTCATTTATTAGCTCTTCATGGTATGCTTGGGGATCGCCGGGCTTTGCATGGTTTTTGTTCTTCTTTACAATCATCTTTAGCACCGTTTGCTCAGGTGTCTGTACACCTGATTGACCTACCTGGACACGGAGGTTCTTCTGTAAATGTAGTTAAAGGCCCTTTAACAGTCTCATCTATGGCAGCAGCATTATTATCTTTTATAAAAGAGAAGCGTTTATCTAAGGTGCTGTTATTAGGCCACAGCTTAGGAGGACAGGTGTGTATGTGTGCGGCTTTGCATGCACCTGAAGGCGTTATTTCTGCTGTATTTGTTTTAGATATAAGCCCTATTGATTATTTCTTAGACCCTATGCCACTCCCAAAGATAGTAGGCGATCTAGATATAGTTGAGTTAATGCATGCACTTGCAAATCTTGATATACGCGGTATAACCAGCACAGCAGCAGCAGCTGAGCTGCTTCACAAACAAAACCCTTCTATAACAAAGCAGCAGGCTGAAGATCTTCTTCTGCCCCTACTCCAACATCAACAGCAGCAGCAGCAGCAGCAGCAGCAGCAGCAGCAGCAGCAGCAGCAGCAGCAGCAGCAGCAGCAGGGGTGCCCCCTCATTTGGAAGATGGATGTAGCTGCATTGAGTGCAGCACTTACAAATAAAGTACTTCGCTGGGGTACACTAGAAACGAACAAAAGTAATAATTATAAAGGGCCTCTGCTATTGTTTAAAGGAGAGCTGTCAAGATGGGTAGTAGAAGAAAGACATAGAGACAAAATATTATATCTGTTCCCGCATGCAGAGATCGTTAAAGTACAGAAGGCTGCGCACTCGCCTCACAAAGATAATCCTAAAATTATTATTAAATATATCGTAGAAACAGTTAAAACCCTTGCAAACTAATAATATATAATAATACAACTAACAGGTCTATAGGCATGTCTACTTGCATGCAATGTATGCGCATCAGTTATTAGCTGCAGCAGCTTCTAGTGCTGCTGCAGCTGATGCTGCTGCTGCTGCTGCTGCTGGCCCCACACTTCTTGTCGCACGGTTTTGTCTTTTTTATCTTTTTTTTATTACTTGTCTGGGGATAATACATATATAATAAATATGTATAATATATAATATATATATTAATATATATAATATATATAATATATTATATATATATCGGTATATCATATACGGCTGCCTGCGTACGCTCATGTATCTGTTAATAAATACACAAATATATATCTTCATACATATATATATATATATATGTATATATACAAGACATAAATAAAGACATATATATACATATATATCTATATAAAGACATATATATATATACATATATAATATATATATATATATATATATATATATATATAAGTACGAGCAAAGGCGCTGCATATGAATAGGGGTTATGCGGAGGTAGTTGGGTCCAGCGAATAACTAATTAATTTTTGTTTTGTTTATAGTATGCAAGCTTTTTATTGTGTTTATATTATATATTATTAATACTTTTTATTATGTTTATGTTATTAATTTATTGCGTGTTTCTATTATATATATATATATTATATATATAGATGATTGCGTACGATGTATATTGTTTAATATACATTGTATACACTTTATATAATATATATAATATATAATAATATAATATATATAATATATATGTATTATATTACGTGCCTCATCCATATTATGTAGATTGTATAGAAATTATATATATATATATATAACGGGTGCGCTCTACAATAACATATATATAATATATATATTATATATATGATGTGCGTATTAATATACTGCATTATTATGATAAGCATCTGCTGTTTGCTTCCTCTCCTTCAGAGGCTGCAGCAGCAGTAGGGCCCCCGCAGCAACTCGGAGAGACCTAATAAACTTTATGTTAAGTTCTTGAGGGTTTAGGGTTTAGGGTTTGGGCATTAGGGTTTAGGGTTTAGGGTTTAGGCTTCGCCTTTGTGCACGAGCGGAGGCGCCCAGACCAGTAGCGTTTAGGGTTTAGGGTTTGTTTAGGGTTTAGGGTTTAGGGTTTAAGCAGGGTTTAGGGTTTCAGTAACGCATAGGGCTAAGGGTTTCAGTAGGGATTGGGGTTCAGGGTGTGTTTAGGGCTTAGAACTTCAATAGGGTCTAGGGTTTAGGGTTTGTCTAGGGTTTAGGGTTTGTTTAGGGTTTAGGGTTTTTTGTTTGCGTCGCCTTCAAAAGAATTCCTCAACACAAAACAACCAAAGACCCACCTAAATAAATATATATATATATATA